GGAGTAACCAATGGTCTCAAGGACTCCTAGGATCAGAGAGTAAAGGTAGGAGGTGGAAGTGGAGGTGGAGATGGGTAAGGAGGGCAAATGGAGAGTGGATTGGTGGGTAGGGAATGTGGTTGTGTAGAAGGAAAGAATCACTCACTCTTGGGGCTGGAAGGGATCTCAGAGATCAGCTTGTTTGGTCTCCTCGTTTTACAGGTAAGGAAAGTGAGATTTAGCGATCCTCCTAAGGTTACACAGCCAACAGGCCCCTTTCCATCACCTCTGACCTGGTTCAAGTCTTCCACATCTCTCCTTGGACTACTGTTCAGCTTCATGTGGCAGGCGATACTTTTCCAAGATAGTCATGCCAACAGATCCATTGCATGTGCTTGTCTTATTTCAGCGACGCTCCTCCATTGTGAAGAGGGGGTCTGTGTTCCTCTCTTTGAATCTGATGGGCCTTCACTATGGCAGAAGTTATTTCGTGTGACTTTCTAGGTTAAGTCATTGAAGGTGGTGCAGCTGCTGCCTGGACCTCTCTGGGGACACTTGTCCTTGGAACCCAGCCACCACGCTGTGAGGAAGCCAGGCAGCCACGAGGAAAGGCTTCATGTAGGCATTCTGGCCCCAGTCCTGAGATCCCAGCTGACAGCCAGCAACAACCACCAAATGTGAGTGAATGAGCCTTTCAGTCCTGGGTTGAGTGGAGCAGACACAAGTGGTCCTGGTGGAACCAGTCCAAATGGCAGACCAATAAGCAAAATAAATGCTGTCATTGATTTAAGTCCCTGAGGTTTGGGATGATTGAAACACCTTATGTCTGCCTCTGTTTCTCCAAACTATGATACACATTTCATTAATTCAATGGATCTGTATTAGATGCCGATCATATGCTAGAAGATGTATGAAGACAGACATGATTTCTACACTCAAGGACAATACATTTCCTCTGTTCCTCTGCACAACACTGTTCCTCTGCACACACAATAAAACCCATACTCCTCAACCTTCTGTTCATGGTTCCAGCCTACCGCTCCACTGACACCACACTGAAATATTTCGTCCCCAGACCTGAATTCACTCTCCACTCTCTGCCTTTGTTTATGTTGTCCCTTCCACCTGCCCCACCTTCTCAGTCTTCAAGGACCTGCTCTGGAACCTCTCCCCTTCACCAGGCCCTACCGGACTCCTCCAGTTGGAGGTGATCGGCACCTCCCCGGAATCCCATGGCACTTACTGCAGACTGCACAGTTTCTGTCTGCACACTGCCTCTTCAAGCTGCAGCAGACTGTGAATCCCTGGAGGAGGGAACCTGGCTTGTCCCTTCTGTCCCTCACAGCACCTGGCAGAGGGCCCAGCACCTAGGAGGCCCCAGCAAACATCTGTTGACGTGACTAGTAGCAGAACCAGAAGGGAAAGTCAGGTGTCCTGAACCCTAGTATCCAGCGCCTTGCTTGCTTCTCTGGATAGCGCCATGGCAGGGGAAAGTCCCAGCTGTGGAGGGTATCAGGTGGGTGGGAGAAGACCTTGGTTATGGCTGAGGGTGACAGGATCATTGCGTGTGAAGCTGCAGATGGCTGGGAGGGGATGGAGCTCTGGCTCCTGGCCAGGGCTTTGTGGTGGGTCCCTCCCTCTCTCCCTTCTTGCTCTCAGCCAGCCCTGAGCACCCATTTCTGAAGGGAAAATGTGCTGTTTCTTTGACCTTCTTCTCCTCCAACACCCATTCATTTCTGAGAACACCTTCCTTCTCAGGGCCCAGTCACACAGAAACCCAGGCTGCACCTGCTATCCACGCCTCCCCCTGCACCACAAGGGCTGGCTCTGCGTTCTGCGTTCTTCCCCGGGGGTTTCCGAGGTGCCCCGTTCTCTGAGTTCTCTTTCCTGCGCCCACCCGATCAGGACTGCTCCCCGGTTCCGGTCTCGGTGGTTGTCACTGGCTCTCCTGGGCCCCATGCCGGCTGCACCTTGCCTGGCCTCTCCCTTAGGGGTTCACCAACAGGAGCAGGCTTCAGTTCGTCTTTGTCTCCAGGGACAGGCGCCCTCAGACTGAGCAGGAGCAGAGAGTGGGTGGGCAGGATGTTGTCCAAAGACTTCTCCCTGCGCTCTCTTTCTAGGAGCTGGGAAGGGCCTCTGTGGCTCACTGTCGTGTGCAGCCTGTCCCCTCTCCTGCCGCATGGTCTCAGGCCGGGTGGGGGAGGGCACTTCCTAGGACTCATCCCTGCAAACGGCTCCGTGAGCCCCAGTGGGGATGGGGCGGATTCTGGTGGCTCGGGTATTAAGGCTGAGCACTTTCCTCTCTCTGCGGAAACTGGGCTCAGTGAGGGTGGGGAGGTGGTTGGGCGGGGGCGGCTTCTCTATCACCTCCTCTGCTGCCCCTGGCTGCCTGGGGGCCTGGCACCTGTGGCCACAGTAAGGATGTCTACGCCCTGAGCTCCTCCGTATCTCCCTGTCCTGGGCTGCGGGGATGCTTCCATCCGGCTACCTTCAGGCTCTCTCCTCTACCTCCAGGAAGTCAGTAACCTGCATTTGGCTGTGACTTCTGAGTGAAAGGTGTGTGTGTGTGTGTGTGTATGTGAGACAGAGAGCGACAGAGACTGGCCTCTCCTTAGCCTGAGGCCACAACTCCCGCCTTGCCTGCCTGCCTCTAAGCACAGGATGAGGGCTACCCTGTGCCCAGTGTCCTCTCTGTTGGGAGGATCACTGGTCCCTCTGATTCCTTCATCCTCCGGGGAACATGGGAGTCTCAGGGTGGACAGCTGGCCAGGCCAGAGGAGATGCCCCTTCCACTTCTTTCCCCACGCCCAGTCTCACTGCAGGCCCGTTCTCACTCTCTCAGTCCCTTGACCTGGAGGGGAAGACACCCCAGTTGGAGGTGGATCACCCTAGACTTAGGGCTGGCAAAGCAGCATCTAGGGGGTTAGCATCTAGGGTCATCGACTGGGTTCCTCCCGGCACCCTGAGGGGTGGATGTGCCTCGTGCCGGGTCACCGAAGATGGGGCGCCTGTGCCACCGAGGGCCTTGGGCACCTTGAAGGGTGAGTGAGGAAGCTGCCGGAGGTGGTGAGGGCCGAGGGGATGACTGTACAGACAAGAGCCTCTGGTCTTTTTTAGCATCAGCTGGTGAAGCCACCTCCTTCTCTCCCACTGGCTGCCTCCCTGAGTCACTGCCCACCCACCAGCAAATTAAAAAGGGGTGTCATCTGCTGGCCAGTGGCCCCATCTGGCCCCCAGGGTTTGCCTCTTTCTGCTCCCGGGTGGAAGGTGAAAGTCTAGGTAGGGTTGCCTCCGCAAGACCTTGTCCCCCTGGGCCTGTCTCTTTCCAGTCTCTGCCTTCCTCCTCTGCCCTTTGTTCCTCCCCTCCCCCCACATGCCATGATGGTTCTCCCCGGTGACAAGACCCACCCCCTTGCTCCAAGGACAGAGGCAGCTGCAAGGCCTCAGGGGCCCCCCACATGGCCCCATCCATCTCGCCCGGTCTGTGATCCGGGCTGCAGGGGAGGGGACCCGCGGAGTCCGCGGCTCCCTCGCGGACTCCTCCCCGCCGGCAAGCCCAGCTGTCAACACTCGCCTGCCGGCCCCGGCCGTCCTGAGGCCCTGCCTGGCCGCTCCGGCCGGGGACATTGCCCCCTGGAGACCCTCAGGCAGACCCGGGCGGGCGGTGGGCAGGCGGCGGCGGCCACCCTGCCTTGCCCTTGAGCAGCCCCGGGCCTCTTTGCCTAAATAAGGGAGCTGCAGCTGGAGGGAGCCAGCTGGCCGCGGGGAGGGGCCTGCGGCTGGGCCAGGGTTTTCCGAGGGGCTGGGCCGCCGCCGCGCCGCAGGGCCCCGAGCCCGCCGATTGGGCCTGCACCGCCGGCCCCGCGCTGCAGCGGGAGGGCGGGCCCTTCGCACAAGGGGATCCCCAAGGCTGGAACCTCGCGTTCGGGGGCCTCTCTTTGATTCCGCAGCGAGGAGGCCGAAACCGCTGTCACCATGCCCCTCTTTGGGCAGGAGAGCCTGAAATCACCCCCAGAAAGGGCTGTGTGTGTGTGTGTGTTGGGGAGCGCCCCTACCCTGGGCTACCCCCCAATCTCACGCACCCTTATCTCAGATCTCCGTGGCTGGGGGGCCTCCAGGTTGTCTGGCCCTTCACGCTTCTCGGGTCTCCCCTGACCCTGGCCTCGTCGCCCCAGGGCCCAGGCCTCGCCCGTGTCGCCAACAGCGGGCGTTGGGCGCACACCGTGTGTATACGAGCGGGTGCTCGGCGAGGTGGGGGACCCGGGCGTCCGGGCCGGTCCTCTCCCTTAGGGGAGAGGTCAGGTCCCTCAGTCCCTCCAGGAGAGAGCGGGGCGGGGGCGGACCCCACCCCCCACCCCGCTCCCACCCCCTCCCTGGCGCCCTCAAGGCCGGCCCTCGCACCTGTCCTCACGGTTCCCCTGCCTAAAGGTCCCTTCCCCCTCTTGGAGCGCGCGAGTCCCGGGGGCTCCGGGGCTGAGCGAGGGGCTGGGGTGGGGGGGAGCCCTCGGCGCGGCTCAGCCAATGGGAAGGGCGGGCGCGCGGGGTGTGTGGGGGGAGAGGGCGGCGCTGCGGGCGCGCGGCGGGCGGGAGGGGGGCCGGGAGGCGGGGGCCGGAGCCTGAGGGGCGCGCGCCGCGTTAACCCTTCCGCGGCCGGGCCGAGCCGCAGGCGCAGCCCGAGCCGCGGGCGCCGGAGCGGCTGTCGGCGCGGCGGGCGGGAGCCGGGAGCCCGGCGCGCTCGGGCGGGCGGAGCGCAGCGCGGGGACGCGGCAGAGCGGGGCCCGCGGCTCGGGCTGGGGCCGGCAGACAGGTGTGCGGGCTGCCGGAGCTCAGGCCGGGCCCGCGGTCCAGAGCCGGCGCCGAGCGGAGGGACCCCGCGCCCGCAACCCAGTCCGGGCCGCGCCCGTACTCTGCCTGGCCGCGGGGTGCGGGGACCACGGCCGGGCCGGGCCACCCGAAGCCTGTGTTGGGCCGGGCCGGGCCGGGGTGGGTGGGGGCCCGCCCGGCCCGCCCATGGGCTCAGGATGCCGGTGCGGAGGGGCCACGTCGCGCCGCAGAACACCTTTCTGGACACCATCATCCGCAAGTTTGAGGGCCAGAGTGAGTGGGGGAGGGGGCCAACGGGGAGGGGTCTCTGGGGGCGGGCCGAGCTCTCCTGGAGAGTCAATGGGGGGGGCGTGCCCGGGCCGTGTGCAGCCGGCAAGTGAGTCTGTGGTGGCTGGTGACCCCAAGGCCCTGGCCAGGGGTCGCAGGGGCCGGGCTTGGTGCTGGGGGGCCGTGGGCTTGGGGCCAAGGGGCCTGGGGTTGGGGCACGCAGCAGGAGGCTCAGGTTAGACTGCGATCGATCGATGGGGGGAGTGTGTGAGTGTGACACCCTGAGTGTGCAGGGAAGGGAGGTAGGATGGGAGTGTGCAGGTGTCTAACTCGGGGGCCTGGGTGGGAATGGGTCTGTGTGGACCGAGAACAGGAGAATGTACCTGGCCAGAACTGTGGGGCCCTAAGACCTCTGTGCTGTGCGGGTGCTGGTGGCCTCTGGAGACTGAAAGCCAAGCATGTAGGGTCAGCGCCTCATGTGGTCTTGGGAGTGTGTGTGTGTGTGTCACCCGTGAGTTCGACCCTGCATGGGCAGTGGGGAGGTATCTGACAGGCTGTGAGCTCTGGGCCTTGGGGGTGACAGGGAGCCAGGACCCAGGCTGGGTTTTTGCGGGTCTAAGTAGGCTCTGTGTTGCAATGACCCTGTGTTACTGTTTTTTCTCTGTCCTGAGCCCCTTGGTGGGGACTACAGCAGCCCTAATGCCGGCTGGTAGAAGAGGTTTTCAGAAGCGTCCCAGGCTAGGTGAACGTTCTGCGTGTGAGTGTTTGCACCCTCCTGGCATGCGTGTGTCTGTCCCCAAGGCTGCATGTGCCGTGGTGGGTGTGACTGCCAAGGGCCCTGGGAGCGGGTGACATTCCTTGCCTATGACCCTGTGAGCACAGGACGACGTGTGCTTGTAACCGAGGTGGGGGAAGGGAGGGGTCAGTTCGATGGGCAGCATTGTCTGAAGCGGAGGAACACGATGATCCTTAGGGGGAGGAGACTGCCATGGTGGAGGGCACTGGGGCCAGGTCTTCCCTTCTCACAGGCTCGGGAGGCTTGGGAAGAAGCTGGGCTGGGAGCTGGGGGCCTGCCTTCCGGTCCCACCTCTGCCACTGACTGCTATGTGACCTTGAGCGATTCTCTTCCACATCTGGGAAGTAGGGGGGTCTGCCAAAGGGGCCTTTCAGGTCCTTTCTGTCTCGATGGTTCCAGGAGCTCAGTGAAGGAGGGGGGGGGGTGGGTAGGGACTGCCTTCGAAGAAACTGGCTCTTCTCTCCAGGCCTGGGAGTGGGGGCCAGGTGGTTTTCCGTCTCCTGCTGCGTGTGGGGCTGGTACCCAGCACTGCCTTGGGCTCAGGTGGGAGTTGGAGGTTCAGTCAGGGGTCATTTCCTGTGAGAGGGCGCCCTGCCTTCTAGGGTTGAGGGCTGCCTGGGAATTTCAGGGGGGGGGCCGGGGAACTGACCTAAAGATGACCTGACTTCAAAAAGTAACTTCCTGGAGGCCCCAGGGCAAGCGAGGGGAGGAAGGCAGGAGAAGGCCAGCTCTTGATGCAGCAGCCCATGAGCCTTGCCCATGGGATCGCCCAGGGCTGCAGCCTGAGGGCTGTGCCCACTGGCAAGGGAGGGGGCAGGGTTCCCACTGCTACTGAAAGCCCCAGCATTAAAGGCTAAACTGGCCGGAAACTTCTGTGTTTATAAAAAGCTCTTATCCTTAGAGCATCTTTCCTGGCACAAGCTGGGGCCGCTGTCTGCCTGCTGCTCACCCACCAGCCTGGCTCCTGGGGCAGGTGTGGAGGAAATGAGCCCAGTCTAGCGGCAGCGGGTCCACTGGGGCACGTCATCTTGATTGAACCAAAGTGGGGAAAGCTTCGCATCCCTGGTGGGAAAGCCCCTTTCCGGGGTCTGTCTGCTTACATGCTGGCCGGCCCTGGGTTCTGGGTGTTTTCGGGGTTTGGAGCTGCAGGTCCCTTTCCTTGCTCCCTGTGACCTTGGGCCTCTGCCCATGACCCTCCGCTGACTCCTCACCTTCTGCCAGACCTAGGTTCAAAAGCTGGCTCTAGCTTTTACAGGCTGCAAGATGAGGGCATGAACTTCTTTGGAGTCGCCGCTTCTTCACCTACAAAACGAGGATAATGATGGGGTTGTAAAGAGTATTAAATGAGAGAAGGGATTTGAGGTGCTCACGTGGTAGTATCTCCCTCCTCATCGTCTTTTTCCGTGCGCCCACTCCCCAGTCCCTGACTGCCCTTGGAGTGGGTGCAGAAGTCCCGGGAAGTGCTGACCTGGCAGGGGCCGCTAATACTCGGAGTGATTTCCTAGGGATCCCTGGGATAGGGAGTGCCTAGCGAGTGCCCCCCCTCCCCAAGTCTAGAGAGCCGGGGTCAGGAAGAGAAGCCAGAACCAGTGCAAAAGGGAACGCTGGCCGCCATCTCTGGCCCTTCCCAGGCTCCGTCTCCAGGCCCAGTGTTTATCCCTCCGCCGCGGCTGCTGACACGCGTTGCCGACACCCGCCCAGACTGGCCTCGGCCCCGGGCGCGCGGAGGGGGCGGCGGGCTGCTGGCAGTCTGCCCGGGGAAGCCACGCAGCCAGCCCGCGGGCCAGGCGGCTGGGGGAAGGGGGCGCGCCGCCGGGCCGGGGCCGGCCGAGGCACCTGTGTCGGGGCACAGCTGCGTTCGTCCCCTATTGGGGACCCCAGGCCCTGCTGTGCTTCCTGGGGCGGGGAATCCCCGGGCGGGCAACTGGGTGTGACAAGAGAACGCGGGCAAGGACGGGGACCCCGGGGGGCAGGGGTCCCTGCTCACGTGCCCGCTTATCCCCGCCACCCCTCCTGCACCCCAGGCCGCAAGTTCATCATCGCCAACGCTCGGGTGGAGAACTGCGCTGTCATCTACTGCAACGACGGCTTTTGCGAGCTGTGCGGCTACTCGCGGGCCGAGGTGATGCAGCGGCCGTGCACCTGCGACTTCCTGCACGGGCCGCGCACGCAGCGCCGGGCCGCCGCGCAGATCGCGCAGGCCCTGCTGGGCGCCGAAGAGCGCAAAGTGGAGATCGCCTTCTACCGGAAAGATGGTAGGTGCGGCCTGGAGCGGGGCGGGGCCGCGGGGCAGGGCGGGGCCGCGGCGGGGGCGGGGCTGGAAGGCAGTGGGGGGCGGGGCCGGTGGGTGAGGGGCGGCCAGAGATTGGCCGGAGTCCCGGTCGTTGACCCCAGCTGGGACCTGTGCGGTGCACCTGGTGGGAGGCGCGGGCTGCAGGGCGGTCCGGATCTCTTGGCCTCAAGTACTATGTTGGGATTGTTTTATAGGGTGGCCAGGGGGCTGCTTGTCTGTGGTCTGGCGCCTCTGGTTCCTTCCTCCCTGGGCAGATGTGGGCGCGTTGAGCTGGGTGGGTTAGAGTTTGACGGCGCGGCCCTGGGATGGCAATATGCGTGCCCGGACGGAGGTAATGAAAGTCCAGGCTGGTGGTTGGGCGCTGACCTCCGGCCACAGGCCTCCAGCCACCCTAGTCCCTGCCAGGTGACTGGTCTGGGCGTTGTCCTCGAGGCGAGGCGGGGAAGTGCTGCAGGACTCTGGCTGGCTCTCAGCCGACCTTTTCCTGTCCCCCGACTCTTCCGAGCTTCACCTGGGCGGGAGGTGTGTGCCTCTCCCCACAACCTCAGTTCCCTTTGTCTCATCTTGAGCGCCCCGCCCTGCACTCCTTCCTGCGCCAGGTGTCTCTGCTCAGCCACCGCCTCCCCGCCCAGCTGCTCTGGGTTTCCGGAGAGCGGATAAACAGAGCCTTGGGCGGGACTGCTCCCACACCCGCTCCTGCCCTGGCCGGGTGGAACCCTGCTCAGGGAGGCCAGAGCAGCAAGGCTTTGGGGGACCTGCAGGTAGCAGGGGGCTGGGGAGGGGCTCCAGATGGTGCCGCTGGGCTGCCCACAGTGCTGCTGTCCCGTGTGTATGTGACCAGCACATACTGAACCCCTGGGAACCGGATGAAGCAAGGTCTGGAGATGAGGCAAGATACCAGACCAGAGGTTCCTGCCCACTCACTGCCTGCTTACCCGCTGTGGACAGCACTCTCTGTCGCCCCCGCTGGGGGCAGACTGAGTCAGTAGCCCCTGTGTGGCTTTTGCTCAGGGTTCACTAAGACTGTCCTGCAAAGGCTTAGGTCCCCAGATGGTCTTACTTTCACAAGTGTGCCTAGCTGTGAGATCCCTGGACAGAATCAGGATGGCATATGGTCATAGGGACCCGTGGAAGAGGGTTTGCTGACAGCACAGTGGGCACGCTGGCTGGGAGACAAGGGCCGGGAAAATTAGATGCAAACTCTGAAGGTAGGGCCTTCCTTCCAATTCTTCACTCACATCTCCCCAGAACCTTAATCAGAGCAGGTGAGCAGGTCTGCTTTTTATATTTATCTGCCTGGCGATCTAGTACTAGTTAATGTCAGTGGGTGCTCTCTATGCACCGGGCCCTGGGCTGACTGTTTCACTTGCACTCTTTTGTGGAATCTTCACAACAAGGCTGGGAAGTAGATGCTAGTTTTTCTCCACTTTGTGGGGTAAGGAAACTGAAGTTTAGGAAAATGAAGAAACTTTCCTTAAACAAAGATAAAAGAATCTGATTGCAATGCAGGAGACCCAGGTTTGAGTCCTGGGTTGGAAAGAGACCCTGGAGAAGCAAATGGCAACCCACTCCAGTTTTCTTGCCTGGAGAATCCCATGGACAGAGGAGCCTGACGGGCTCCAGTCCGTGGGGTCAGAAGAGTGGGACATGACTTAGCAACTAAACCACCATCACCAAGAAACTCTCCTAGAGGATGCAGAGCTGGGAGTGGAACCATGTGTGTCCCATCAGATCTCTGTCCACTCTGTTCTGCTGTCGTGTGTGGAAAATGACACACAGTAGTTACAGATGTATGTACTGCCTGTTGTGGCATGCACACTTTTATTTGGAAAGTGTGCAAACCGCTAGTGTCATGAAAAGAATGTGAATATGTAAGTCCTAGGTTTGGGACTCACACTGGAGATTCTGTAGTATGGACCAAGTTGGTTATTGCCTTGGGCCCGTCTCTACTTCTGGGACTGCGTGCCTGCTGGGCCCCTCCGTGGCACACCAGGTGTCTTCGCCGTAGTGTGTGCGAGGCTGGCCCTCCGTCCCTCCTGCCCCAGGCTGCCTCCTTTGGGAGAGGATGGCCCTGGGACCCCTTCTGCTGAGGTGCTATCATGGAATCTGGGTGACCTTGCGGATCACTTAATCCAGCCCACTCAAGTTACAGATGGAAAAACTGTAGAAGCAGAGGTCAAGTTACCTGTGAATCAAAGGAGACAGTGGGACTGGAACAGGTCTCCCACCCAAGTTCAAGTTATTTCCCCACCCCATTTATTTCCCTACTCCAACTGGGGCTGTGACCCAAAAGGTTCTTTGCCAGCCCTCCCTGCCTGCCTGCCCCCTTCTCTGCCCTCACTAGTTTACACGGGGATCAGGTGTCTCTTGGTGGCCAACAGCCTGGCCTGGGCCCTCAGGTCACGTGGGCCCCTGCCTGTCCTGGCACTCGGGGCCCAGGGTGCAGCAGGTCTCCTCTGCTGCCCTTCCTTGTCCCTCTGCTCAGCCCCTTGGGCAGATATCCGTGCCTGAGCTGGGCCGCGTGTGCGTGTTGTTCGTGAGCTCACAGCCTGGTGCATGGGCAGCGGAGGAGAGGCCAGTGCCGCCTCTTGTTTCTGTTCAGGCATTTCTCAGGGTCTCTGCCCAGGCCAGCCAGGGCAGAGTGGGTCCCTGGGCTCCAGCCCCAGGGAGGTGGGTGGCTGGGAAGGTGGGGGGGTGGTTGGAAGGGGGGTGGGGCCTCCTGCTGGCAGGCGCCCCTGCGGACAGCTGTGCTGTGTCGGTGCCTCGAGCCTAGCTCTGTGTAGCGTCAAGGCCCTGAGCCAGACAGCCCCATTATTTAGCTGCTGGGACTGCTGGGAGGTGGGGAGGCCCGACTCGGGGCGGGGGAGCAACACGGGGTGCTGGGGGTGTTCTGGTCTGTGTCCATGCCCCTTCACAGCAGGCCAGGGATTAAGGCCGAACTGGGGGTATGGCCCAGCAGCACAGGGCGGGCAGGTGGCTGGCACCCACACCCTGGGCCCGGGGTGCTACCTGGGCAGGGAGCGATGCTGGGGCACGCCTGCTTTCCAGGCCAGTCTGGGAGGGCCGCAGCCCCTTCCAGCACGGCCCTGCTCTGTCCGCCGAGCTCTTTGTTTCTACCTCTGTCTCTGCCGCCTGCCGGCCCTGTCCCCATGGTCTTTGTCTCCCTCCCCCCGGCGGCTGTCTTTCTTTCTCTCCTCCCTTCGGCACCCTGGAACCTCCCTCCTTGCCTCTGTCCCTCTGCCCTGGTGGCCTCCGCCTCTCGGTGCTCCAAGTTCTCTATCTGTCCTGGCCTGGTCTCCGTGTCCCCGTGTCCCCGGGAGCCTGTGCGTGGGTGGGGATGAGGGTGTCTCTAGAGAAGAGTCTGTCGGCTTCTTCACTCCAGCTGCAGGCTGGTTGTCATAGTAACAGGGTCAGAGGGCCCCCACTGCAACAGCTGAGCTGTGGGCTGGGGGAAGGGTGGGGGCCAGCAGGCCAGCGTGCTCCCCAGGGTCCCCAGAGCCTGTGGCGAGCCAGAACCCCAGGGGTGGCCCCATGCTTACTGATCTGCGGTCCCCAGACTCACACTTCAGCTTCCCAGGTGCTTGTGCAGGCACTCCTAGCTCCAGTGACACTTCCTCTGGGCCTCCTGTGACTGGCCACGTGGTGCTGGTTTAGCTGCTACGTCATGTCCAACTGCTGCGACCTTGTGGACTGTAGCCCGCCAGGCTCCTCTGTCCATGGGATTCTCCTAGGCAAGAGTACTGGAGTGGGTTGCCATTTCCTCCTCCGGGGGATCTTCCCAACCCAGGGATTGAACCCACGTCTCTTGCACCGCAGGTGGATTCTTTATCCCTGAGCCACCTGGGAAGCCATATCCCGGGCCATTTCACTTATCTTCTCCCTGGTTCCTGAAGGCCGACTCCCCATTGTGACACACCTCCTTCTCCATCATGGCCCAAATCTCAGACACCCACTCCCTGCTACCTCGTCCCCTCCAAGCTGCGATCCTCAGGTCCCCAGACCCCCATCACTCAGGGTAGTTGGTGAGGGAGCCCTGGGGTAGGTTGAGTCTGGCAGGCAGGTCAGATGGAGGCTGGTGCCCGGGTGTATGTTCTGTGTCCTTGAGATGGAGCAGACCAGGGTGAGCCTGAGAGGAGTGAGGTTAGACACAGACAGCCCTTTTCTTGGGGGGCTGGGGAAGCCATTGGGGGCCCCCCTCCACCTTGGGCCTTCTGATCAGGACCTGGGTCAGGCTGGAGTCGGGCAGGTGAGGCCCTTGCACGGTGGTGGCTGGGAGCTGGGCAGGGGGGCTGCATCAGAGCCCAGCAGCGCTTTCCCTGCCTGGCTCCAGACAGGGATCATTCCTGAGCCGGAGCAGGGTGCCCTGGCCTGTGTGGGGGGCTTTGTGTCCCAGCCCCACCCTGGGGGCCAGGGGGGCCTGCCTCCACTGAGGATGTGGGCCACTCCTGGCCTCTTCTGGGGTCTGGAGAGTGTTGGGAGGGCGGCTCCTCCGTGTTGTGTCTGCTGGAGCCCCCGAGAGGAGCTATGTAAATATTTGTGCAGAGCGCGTCTGGGATGGGAGCAGAGTTTGACGGTGGCCTTGGGTTCTGGGGAGGGGGGCCGTGGGCAGCAGGAGGGCCAGCCTGGGGGCGTGAGACAGGGTGAGCCTCAGCCTCTTCTCTGCCCGGAGGTGGCTTCCAGGAAGGTGGGGCTTCAAAGAGCCCAAGACGGTCCTTTCACAGTTAAACATCGTGCCAAGGGGGCTTGGAAGGCCCCCCTTTGGGATCTGCTCGCCTGGGTGGAGAGCGAACCTTTCTCTTTATAAAGACGTTCTCTCATGTCACCCCTGCCCTGTAAGCAGGGAGGAGTGTGGACGCTCTCCCTCAGTGTGAAAGACTTTCACTGACACTTTACCCCCTGCCATGGGGGGAGGCGCCCATGGGGTCAGAGTCGGAAGAGGGGGTGCAGAGGGATGCCCGGCAC